AAGCTACAAAAAAAAAAAAAACAACAATAAGTAAATACAAATTTTTATTATAAACATATTTTTAAACAATATCACACAGCGTTTGTATATTTTATATAAAACACACACATTTCCTATCTGAATGAGGATATGTAATGCATTTTTTGTTAATTTAGTATTATTTATATACTATTACTGTTTTTTATATTTTGAATTCACTTTAATTTTTATATTTTTAATTTAAATTATATTAATTAGCTTAATTTATAATGTAAATTAAAAAATGTATTATACAAAAATTGTTTTACTATCACATCGTTTGTGATTTTATTAAATTTTTTTCTTTTATTTTTTTCTTTTATTTCATAAAAAAAATAACTGCAGACAAGCCTCACCAAGTTACACTGAGAAATACATTTTATTAAATGTTTATAGCTAGTGGATCCTTACACATACACTGTTTTTTTGTTTTGTCAGGTGAAGGTAAGTGTGGACTGGAGTGCATATTTTGCACAATAATATGTTAAATTAATTATAAAAAATTATTATAAAAGTATTTTAAGCTATATCACAATATCACACTGCATTTGTGAGTTAAAAATATTATATTATTAATTTTACTGTCTATTTTATTTTTTATTGCATTTTTTTTTTTTTTCCTCTCAGAGTTTTACATTTTAAGCATTTAAAAATAGTTTCAGTGTCTTCATTGTCATTCATACTGAATTCATTTTACAGTTGAACTTCAAGTAGATTTTTTTTCTCAGTAATAATGTTTTTTTATCTGTATTAATGGCAGGAAAAAACATTGAGCTAAATCTAGCTGGTGCTTTGTGTGTTTTGTCTCAGGAGCCTGGAAACAGTCGACTGCCTCCTCACCTCATCGCTCTGGACTCATCCGTGCCGGGCTTTTTCGACGACATCGGCTACCTGGACCTGTTACCGTCCCGGCCGTGTGACACCGTGTTTATCTTCTACATGAAAGCTGGACAGAAGAGCAGCCAAGAGGTGAATCCTCTTTAGTGTCCTGCTGGGAATGTGCACACTGAACACGGCTAGAGTGCAGCTGATGTGCAGTCACAGGTGAGCAGAGATCAGCTTTATTAATACTGAGCTTGTGTGTGTAGATCTTGAGGAACGTGGAGTCGTCAGCAAACGTACAGCCACACTTTCTGGAGCTGCTGTTGTCTCTGGGATGGCCGGTGGAGGTCAGACAGCATCCGGGATGGACGGGGAGTGTGTTCAAAGGCAACATTTCTAATGAGAATAAACAGTACACTTCTGATGTGTTTATTTAAGTGTTAATTTAGTATTATTTACATACCATTATATACCATATTGATTTATTTATTAATAATTTATTATTTTTAGTTATAAATATTTTAATTTAAAATTTTCAGTTTTCATTTTAATTTTAAATTTTAGTAATTTTGTTATGTGCTTTTTTTTTTCTTTTTCTTTTTTTTTTCTTTTAATTCATTTTTATTTTAGTTTTAGTATTTTTGTTTTGTGTAAATTATTTAATTTGCCATGGCAACATTTCTAATTTTAATTTAAAGGGCTAGTTCACCCAATAATGAAAATTACCCCATGATTTACTCATCCTCAAGCCATCCTAGGTGTA